ATTTTAATTTAGCTAAAGCTACTAATACCTGCGCCATTTAATTCAAATGTTTGTGATGCTTCATGTAAACCACTTTGCAATAATTGAAGCATGGACTTATTTTTCAAAATTAAAAAGCACATTGGTACGCAGATTATCGGCAAATTATGGGTGCTTAAAATAGCTACGCACGTTTGGTGTGATTAGTCTCAAGGTCGCAATACTGGCATTAATTAATTTCTCAAACTTATTGTATGTATCAATTAAATTAATTTCGCATAAAATTTCTACTTATTGAAGCGGTTCAAATGATCAGCCTTTAATAAAGATGGTAAATATTTTAATTTCAATTAATTTGAAGCGTAGATAAAGCCGAGAGGAATTGATTTGTTGAGTAAGGAGGGTTTGATTGGTAACAGAGTAGATTATTGATATTACACTATAGAGACTCACGACAATTTGCACAATTTTTTACTTAAGTTCGCTTAAAGGAAATTAATTGGATCTGTTGGCAAATTTGATGATGGAAACATGACTCTTTAAATATCCTTTCTTTTATGAGACTGAAAATATTCGGAAGTCCTTGTTGATAGCAATTAAGCAATTTAAGTTTTGACAGTTTGGCTGAACGAAATGTTACCTTGGCGACTTGATCACATTGACTTTTCGTAATCTTTCTTACCAAATTTGCATAGAATCTGATATCTCAAAAGAAGTTTTAGGAAAAAATAAGTGGAAGGAGTTTTTAATGCCCTCCAGTGACAATGCTTTATTTGCTGAATGCGATGATGTAGCTATTTATCATTCATGACAGAGTGGAAATGCCTTCTCATGAAGTAAGGGGTGGCATTAAATTTGTTCCAATCAGAAACTCTTAGCAATACAAGCAAATGACCGTTGGGGAAGATTGACTAATTTTGGCTGATTTTTGAGAACAACCAAAGGCGAGTCGATTCTTACGATTTTATGACTTTAAATATGCCGAGAGATGCAGCATTCTAACTGTCATAAATGTAATTGTACTCAAATCTCTGGAATCTTGTTGGTTTTGGTATTTCCAACTTATTCCAGAGAGGAAGGTTGAAGTAAAATTTTCCCACAATCAGCAAAACTGACACAAGTGGGTTAATCGAGGAACGTTGAGGGAAAGACACAAAAGTGAAATGAAAATTTAATCCGCTACATAAAAACCTGTCATTTTACATCTTGAACCTCTCCATAAAATATTTAAGCAGTTCAAATGATAGCTATCCGCATATAACACTCAGAGCAATGAGCAAAAAACCACTTTTAATTGTCATCTTAAGAGTATTTCTGACTTGAATGATGGAATTTTTGGAAAAATAAAAAGACCCTACTTCCTAAGAGGTTATGAAATTTAGCTAGATTGAATCGGTTTTAAGCCAATTTGAAATACGTCTTATTAATTACCTAGTAAGCTGTTTGCTTAGAGATTGGCAGCCTTTCGTATCTGTTCTAGCAGACCGTGTCAACCTATTGCATTTCGTTAGCATAAAAGGTGACAGAGTGACAGAGTGACAGAAAAGATTACTCATGGTCACTCAGGAGAGTTTCAAAATTTCATGTATGCAGAAGCAAAGACGGTAGTTTTATAGTGGTAAATGATAAAATAGTGTTTTATTTTTCTTTCAGATTATCCCATTAAGACGACGCATGAGGAAACTAATTTTGTTCAAAGAGGTAAATTTGTTGATATAATTTATAGTGAGATTAATTAATCAAATTCGAAATTGACTTAATTAATGTGCATGCAATTAATGGTCTTAGAAAATTTAGCAGCAAAAGCTAAGTGATATTCGAAAGAGAATGGGGTAAGCCTAAAATAGCCAATATCTGGAAGAATAAAAAGCTTTGAAATATATATTGTAAATAATGCATTCATTCTACCCTGAAAACCTTTCACAAATCTCGGTGCCAGAATTACCAATATATCTTGCAAGACTCCCAGAGCTAGCTAAGCTACAGCCCCAATATAGAGGAAACAGACATATCTCGTGGAATGCGTTTATTTGGGAAGGATAGTGTGTTAAATGTGTGCTTGTCGAAAGGTTAGTTATCATCAACATGGCTGAATGGAGGAAAAAATGAAGGCTTCTGATTGGCCATTATGTGTGTGCGCGAGCAAATTCTTGTTGGATGTTGACGTATACAACAAGGGAAAACACATGAGTCTCCAAATATGAAACACGAAGCACCTCAGAGAAGTGAGAAATATTTTACAAATCAAGTCTTAATTGTAACTTCGCTTATATTGCCCTTGACCATGTGTTAAAAATTTACTTATTTTTATTTCAACTTTACTTGACTAATGTAAATTTGAATGCAAGCACGTAGCTTAAAATTGCAACAATGCCAAATGGAGCTTATTACACGTGTATGTGAGATGAATATTTTTGTGTAATGTACTGATGTAGTCAAAGTAATATTTAATTTCTATTGGTTTTGGCACTGTTATGAGTGATTGTACCAATTTTTTAATCAGATCATGAAGAACCTCCGGTGCCACCGAGAAAGGGTAAGTTGATATTTCAAAGCTACATTGACACAATTTTTTAGACGAAATGTAATGGTAACCTTTCCTTAATATTAATCTATAATTTCATTACCTGAAATGCGATATGTTTGTCATGAAATTACAGCAAAGCGAAATAGAGCTTCTAACTCGTGTAAGTGATATGAATATTGTTGACTAATGTAAACATTTAATTAAAATTAAATTGAATTTCCATTGGTTTTGCTGTTGCTAAATGTGTTTATACTACTTGCTTAATCAGCGCATGTCTAACCTCTAGCACTCAAAAATAAAGGTAAGTTTATACTTCCAACCTAGTTTGACACAAATTTGTAAACAAACATTTATTTATTAATAATTATTTAATTATTAATAATGATTAAAATAAATAAAAATTATTTTTTCATAATTTCATTGCCTGAAGTGAGATATATTTGTCTTAAAAAGATGGAATGGTGGGAATACTTATGTTTAATTTTATTTTTCTAGGAATGCCTAAAAGAAAGTTAGACGACCTCTGGACAGCAGCTTACTATGGTGATATAAAGGAATTTCCAGATGACACAGATGACGACAAGCAGAGATGGAGAATTTATTCCAAAGAAGAAGGAGGTTTGATTTTAAAGAATGGCATGGATGGTGAATCCTATGAAGTTACCATTGGAGATCAATACGAAGTGTCTGTTGGGCATGATGAAGGAAAAGTGTGTAGAGGAACAGTACTTTCTGAATTAATGCGGGACGTGGTTGAGGTAGGTTTGGCATTATCTTGGTAAACTTATCTTTCTTTAGAAAACTGGTGTTAAAGCAGCAAGACATAGGAAGGGTGCCACGTTGATTAATAAACGCGATTTAATGCACTTCGTAGAAGCTTTCCTTCTAAAAGACGATGAAATACCAAGAGAGGTTGGGGAAGAAGGTGGAAAAATTCTTGGCAAGGGAGAATTTGGAGAAGTTGTACTTAGAGAATTCCGCACTTCTGTGAGTTTTCAATTTTTTCCGTTCTCTATACATGTACCCACATACATATGATATACAAAAAACAACTTTTTCGAAGTTTTGTTTTTGTTTATTCTTCTCATCTGATTATATAAATACAATGCAGTAAATAATGAGGACATGCTCGGAGTCGTGACGGATTGTCAATTAATTTGAAAGACTGAGTTGGTCTCCTAGGTGACACGTTTATCCAGATCCGAACATATATTGCTTTGTAAATTGCAACAAATTTTATAGGCTGGTAGACGCCCTTGAGGCAACCAATCAAGCTCAAATCGACTTGTCTCGAAGTAATTTATTGACGTGTTTCATCATTTATGGCTCGATTACCACATGAATCGCATCCAATGAATCTATATAACACCAAGGAAACATCTGTATCACACGAACAATTTCAGTTGTTGGTTTATTTAGAAAAATCTTATTCACTAAGCTTTGGATATTGTCGGTCACCTATGATGTAATTTGAAGTGGGCTTCATATCAGGACACTAAGGCAAAAGGCCAATAAACAGGGATCCAGTGCACTAGAGAAGGTATTGTAGAAGTCGATTTGAAGCATTCAATAATAGTTTTTTCAGTTTCAATTAGGGCAAAGAGTAATTACCAATAAAGACATTAATATCGGAATTTTCCTGCGATTCCCCATTGAAGTGTCCAAAGAGTTTGGTTATTTATGAAGAGTGTTAGAAATCTGTCAGGTTGCACTGCTCTTCAAATAATTGGCATAAAAGAGATTGGTAGGGTGGAGAGGTGTGGGAGGGGGGAAGGGGAGGGGGGGGGGAGGTGGAGGCAAAGTGAGCTGATTTGCACTTTTGTTATTGAAAGATTTAACGTTATTTTTGACAGATGCCCAACTATGACTTGTGACCTCGTAGATCCTTGTTGTTACTAACATAATGAAATCTATTCGTAAGGGAGAAGTATTAGAGTGCGTGAATATCAAGAATGTGGAAGATAGTTGTTAAATAAGCGCTTGGTACACTAGAAGTATTGAGATATGATGCTTGTGGAGAGAAGATCTTGCAAGTTGTTTGCTACCGTGTGAGCATATTCTGCCTTCTCGACATTTGTTTGAAAATGAATTGGCATAGAAACATTAACCATAATGAGTCGAAAACAGTTCACTAGGCATTAGTCATTGTGGCGAAGAAATTGTATTGTAATCCAAATGGTGAGCAATGTATTTCGAAAATGTGGGTGCTTGATGTTACCATAAGAATAATAGAATACCTAAGTTTATGATGTTGCTATATGCCTATTTGTTTGCTAATAGGAAGGCTCAAATCGAAAAGTGGCAATAAAACGAGTAAAGCAAACATCCGAATTTGCTTTAACTGGAGGAATGGAACTTGCAGTTATGGCCACCCTTTCCCAGTGCGAGAAAAACGTACACCTTCTCAGTTTTATTGGTTGGTACATGGATTCAGGGCATCTCAACATTGTGTCCGAGTACATGCCCAACGGATGCCTCAACGAACGTCTTAGGAGGTTATTTCTAAATAATGAAGAGAAGAAGCACACAGAGCAACTCAACTTGGTCCGATACGTCTCACAAATTGCTTCAGGAATGAAAGTTCTGGAAGAAAACGCACTTCTTCACCGTGATCTTGCAACTAGGAATATTCTCCTAGATGAATACGACAATATCAAGGTAAATATTTATGATTAGGGAGAAGGAAAATTGAAGAAAATTAAAATATACACTTTTACTAACAAAGAATGCAATACTTTAAAGTATCCTTTTTCTAAAGTATGAAATTAATGTACCACCGGGTTTAGAAAATTGGATAGCATTTTCAACTTACTCATACTCTAAGATTTTAAGTTTTTCTTAATTATCATATTTTTGGTTAATTTTGTAATAATTGATTTTGGTTGAATTTGAACAATTTGCTTACTAGATTGGTGGTTTCGGTTTGAGCCGACCATTTGAATCCAAATACAGCTCTGGGGTGATAGCTGTGAGATGGATGGCTCCAGAGGTGTTGGCAAATGAAAATACGTTTACTAATAAGGCAGATGTTTGGTCTTTTGGTGTCGTGGTGTGGGAGATTTATAGTTTTGGTGGCTTGCCCTATAGTGATGTCAACTGTTCCAAATTGGGTACTCTCCTTCAAAATGGCAAACGACTGGATGCTCCAGTTGGCGTGCCACAGAGAATGGCAGCCCTTATGGAGAATTGTTGGAAGTTGGAACCTAAAGAAAGACCATCATTCAGAGAAATTGACAACATTCTCCAAGGAAAGACAACCAGACCATACCGGACTCCTACACCGCCACCTCCACCACCCAAATATGACCAATCAATTAGCACGTGTACGTTGTTGTCTTATTTAAGTAATTATAATTACTTGTGTGCAAGTTAAATGTCCACAGGTAGACAATAAGTTCAACGCTCACGAGTATTCGATGGATCAGGCTGAGAAGGGGTGTGACGGAGGTTGACTCGATTCCCAGAAAGACTTCTTAATGATAAATTGTTGGATTTCAGTCTTGATATCAATACTTGCCATATTTCAATTTGAGAGTGACGACTGGTCGTTGATAAAATTCATTCGCTAACATTAGAATTCCTTCAGGAAATCACAGTACATTAGAAATTAAGCTGAGTGTGATACCAATCACTGCCTTTTGTCTGTACTCACTTAGTCTTCATCAGAAACAACACTTTCCACTCATTCCAGTGAACACATCAAAGAAATGAATGGTACAAATGGAGTGTAGTGAGTGAATTAGAAGATGGTGGTACTGTCGATATGGATGGATTAGAGATGCGTTAATTCCAATGTGATAGACAGGGGAACACAAAGGATATGAAGTTGAATAAAGTGAAGTTGTCCTCAATTTGACAACTTGTTGTACGTAGAAGAGGGGTTGGATAAATAGAAAAATGTTAGCTTGGTATAGTGGAATGGTAATGTTTACGACAACAGAGCTTTGTATAAAAGCCAATTTTCATGATTTCATTAAAATGCGAATTGCATGACTTCTGAAGAAAATTATAGTGGAGAATAAGTATCCTTTTAAATTCAGAAATCGAGCTGGAAGAAGAGGAGTGGGGGGGGGGATGGAGGAGGAGGGGAAATCCCCTTCCCCGTAATAGTGCATGCATTGCAAACGGCCACCCTTCTACTCCTCTCCCTTTAAAATGCACGCAGCCACGTGTGAGACGTTTGAAGTGGCAGTCTATTAGTCTTTGTAGTTACTATTATAGATTTCAAAAGACCTCACAGCCAGTGAACTTGGGTACGTTTAAAATAAGTGTTTAGCGTGATGAAGCAGACTATGTATCATCCTTCCCCAACCATTTATGAATGTCCACTGGAATAGTCAGTGATTATTCTCTTAGTAACACGGAATTAAATATATTCCTGACCCCTTGCTATTAAATTTTAAATGTGACACAAAGTGCACGATTTTGCAAACGAATCTTAACTTTATACCCAAATGTTCAATGGAACCAAATCTATATTTTTGTTTTATGGTTGAAAAATGTTTACAAGAACCTAAACTAATTTGACATAATGTTAAATTTAAATTTAAACTGCGAGGCATGTTTTGGATAAGAGGTGCAAATTATAAATTAACATTTTTGAAAAATATTTAAATTAACCATTTGTCTCCATTTTAGATATATCTGGAAATGGACAGAGTATGTTACATTCTTTTCCTAATCATGGCAATATTTTACGAAGTAAGAAATTTGATAAGAATGCATGCTTTTTAAATTTGGTATACGCTGCAGAGAATGATGTAGATATTTCAAAGAGCATCTTTTGAAGAGTGAGGAAAAGTGACTTGATTCCCATTTCTTTCCTCAACATTTTCTGTGGACTCGAGAACTTCTCATTCTGCTGTTGATTGGATGCCATTGGGATTTGGAACATTTGCACAGAAAATGAGCATTTATTTATGAGATGGCATCTGTTGGGTGGTGGCACGAAGTCCATGTTGAGTAAGCAAAAGATTGGGTCTTGATGAAACGCTCATTTTTATAGTCTAGGAGAGTATATCAAATAAAGATGCAGACATGTGGCTTAAAAAACCATAAAACCTGGATTGGACTTTGTGTTTGTGCTTCTAACTAAAATTGATATAGTTCAATTTTGGAAGTGGGAAAGGAAATATTCAAAGACAAAGCAATCACAGGAGGCCATTCAAGCAAAGTGAAGAGCCGAGGACTCCACTGGGACATCACTCGGATGGTTGGAGTGTGAAGAAGGAGGAATGGTTTAGTATGAGGCAACAAGAATCTGTGTTCACTAGATTTGCGGCGGCATGGTGTTCTCATGACCTCACAAAGAAAATGCCAATTGTGTGCGTACTCACATTGCTCGATTGAATTGACAGTTACATGGGTGCATTTGTGTTCGCGATCTTTTAACTAAATGGCTCACTTTAATGGACGATTACGCCACCTCTTCACATTTAAATTGCGCTGCAGTTTAGATAAGGAAGATAAGACTGGCAATCGATTCTATTAACACGATAGTGCTCAATAGAGTCCACTCTGTGCCATGCTTATTACTTAATCATCTCAATGATTTATAATTGCAAAATGGCATTAAAAACAATTCTGAAGATATTCTATGTTTCTTGAAGTTACAGCTTCAGATGGAGTTTCGTCTTCAAAGAATATGCACACTCGGGGAAGAAGATCAGTTCCTATACTTCGCAAAGGTATGTTAAATTATTTTCGATTTGTTATTATAATATGACCTTTAATTTATAATTTTATCAAACTGAAAGCCTGTATGTGACTGCCGAAAACACTCATCTTTAAATGTTCTCCAAATGCCTATATTGTACTTTATACCTTAAACAAATCATTTGCATATGTTATAAATAGTTGCTGAGCAATGGAGAACTAGAAACAATTCGGGACATGCAACCGGAAATCAAAGTAAATGATTCAGTTATATGAAATAATTATCAATCTGTTTTCAATGCTTTAACTGACATGTACTTTAGTTATAATTAGAAAATTGATTGGGAGCGAATTTTCTTTTACTAAAATAAATGACCTTAGATCTTGATGGTAGAAATGGTTATACATGTGACAATAATTCACGGGATGAAAGTATGTTTTTATTTATGTGTTTTAATCTACATCTTGCCAATGACTCTTATTATTTATTATACTTAAGGCACAACAGCAGGTGAATTACTAAAATCTAAAAATAATTATAACACGGCAGTTAATTGGATATTATTTATGATGAAGCTGTCAATTCGGGTGTTTCTATGCTTCAGATAATTACCCAACGGTCAATGACGGGACAAAAGAAATGATCGCAAGTGAATTGGGTAAGCTTAAAATAGCCAATATCTGGAAGAATAAAAAGCTTTGAAATATATATTGTAAATAATGCATTCAGTCTACCCTGAAAACCTTTCACAAATCTCTGTGGCGGAATTACCAATTTATCTTGCAAGACTCCCAGAACTAGCTAAGCTACAGCCCTAGTATAGGGGAAACACATATTCCACGAAATGCGTTTATTAGGGAAGGATAGTGTGTTAAATGTGTACATCTCGGAAGGTTAGTTATAATCAATATGGCTGAATGGAGGAACAATTGAAGGTGTCTGATTGGCCATTATGTGTGTGAGCAAACAATTTCTTGTTGGATGTTGACGTATACAACAAGGGAAAACACATGTGTCTCCAAATATGAAACACGAAGCACCTCATAGAAGTGAGAAATATTCTACAAATCAAGTCTTAATTGTAACTTTGCTTATATTGCCCTTGACCTTGTGTTAAAAACTTACTTATTTTTCATTTTTATTTTACTAATTATTGTTCTAAAATAATGGACTCATTAATTGTGTATTCGTTCAGATTTAGTTGTAGCATCAGCCAAACCTAGCAAGTTAAGGAATTATCTCATAGAAAAATATAGCAACAATGAATGAATTAATAGATAGTTAAGAAATGAGTTCAGTACTCAAGTGGTTCGTTATCTCTTTCTTCTTAAAGGAACTTGACAGGCTAATTCTAATTCTATCCTACGTTCTCACTAATTAGTCAATTTTATTTGACTAACGTAAATTCAAATACGAGTTAGAACTTATCAAGCGTGTAAGGGTTATGAACATTGTCGATTAACGTAATAAAATGCCTAAAATTATATTTAATTTCCATTGATTTTGCTGTTGCTAAATGTGTTTATACAACTTGTTTAATCAGCGTATCCCCAACCTCTGGCACTCCCAAATTTGTGTATGTTAATATTCCGAAGCTTCATTAACACAAAACTTTAAATGAAATGGAACTGTAGCCGATTGCTACACTCGTAAAGCCTGACTGACTCAGAAATCTCAATGGCAGATTCTCCTTCATTTAGCTTGACTCCCAGAACTAGCTATGCTATTGCCCAGCTATAAAGGAAGCAGACGTGTAGCACGGCGCACGTTTATTCAGTGAGTATATTGCGGATAAAGTGTACATGCAGGGAGCTACTCATGATCAGGATGTGGGATTAGGTTAAACAAACGGAAGTCACTGATTGGCCACTGTTTGTGTGATCACTACACACGGAGTTGTATGGCCTCACCTTCCAATCCTGGCGTGCGGGCATGCGATGACGCACAAAGCGATTACGTGTCCCACAGAACGGGAAATGCGTTTCCTATTCTAGTGATTCGTTACTTCTTAATTCTTAAAGGGAACTTGACTAATGTAAATACCGATGCAAGCACGTCACTTAAAGTCGACACCAAAAGCAAGTTGGAGCCTATCACTCGTTGTGGATTAATTACAAGTCCTAGAAAGAGTTTCCTCAATTATAGTTATTGTTCAGAGGAGTGAAGAACTTTCAAAATAATTAATTGTCAAACGATGAAAAATATAATTTTTAGATGGAAAAATTGAAAGGGAACCACCAGCACCTCTCAAGTCCTTCCAAACCCTGGTAAATTAGAGCCAAAATTAAATTAACAAGCGTTCATGTTACATATTTTTGCAAAAAATTAATTGATTAATGCTTTTTCTATGCAGGGATATCACCACAAAATCGGTAATCCTAATTTAATCTAGAGGCATTAATAGCAAATATGATGATATAACTTAAATTCCATTTCGAAAATTTCAGATGAGAAGAATGAAACTGGCGCAAGAGGAAAGAGGAATCTTTATTTTTGATCGACTTTACTCTAAAATGAAATTGGTCTATTCTTTTAAATAAACTATATTCATTGAAAGATATGAGTGAATAAAAAGTTGTTTCGACATTTGTAATTGATTACAGGAAAAAGCACATTTGTGAATGGTTCGTGTAAATTGAAATATGATGCAAAATCAGTAACGAAATGAGTTTAAGGCGTAAACATAATTTGACACCTTGAATGAACAGTAGCGAATTGCCAAACTGGTAAAGCGTGACTGACTCAGAAATCTCGGTGGCAGATTCTCCTATATCTGGCAAGACTTCCAGAACTAGC